CAGGTATTCAATACTTAAAATCGAAGGACAAATAATTTATCTGTTATATTAGTATTTTAAGATTACGGAGTAGTGGACCAACATTTTACGAGTAACCATATTCCACTCCGTTTATCTAAACTTTAAAACATTAACCCTAAATTCAATTTGTTTATATTATCGAAATTCTCAAAAAAATTTTCTGATTAGGAAATTGAAATTAAAATTGTATAAGGTCCTTAAAAAAGTAAAAACATTATGGAAAAATTAAGAGGATAAAAAATATTAAAAAGCATAATTTAGGTATACAACAAAAATATGTTTTTTGTAACGACTTAAAATCATGTAAAAAAAATATTTTCAAAAACGTTAATTTATACTTTCCCAATTAATGATTGGTGTATATTATGTAGTTAAATGGATCACCCGGTATAAGTATATACTTATTAATAACGATCATCGCGGCAAGATTCTCCGACGAAATTAAATTGGGGTTCTTGCGGTTGAATTATGCAACGGCGCAGTATGCCAAACTTAAGTACACGCATAATACAACATATACTATATTAAAATATATKCCAACTAATCAAGTAATATAAAATTACCGTTTGATAAAGTTGTCGGCTTGGGAGACCGAATGTGTATACAGTGAAACCTCCTTTAACATACTGAATTTTGGGAACGGCGACATGTGTACTCAATGTATTTACCCTCTTAATAGCGGACATCTCYGAATAGCAGAAGAAATTTAAGAGATCGTGAGTGTTCGATATTCAGAGATTTCACTGCATATGTTTTATGTATTATTAAGACATATTTTATAAAGTTTTAGTTTTTATCGACAAATTACTGTCATCGTAAAATCCTAAACTTTTATTTAAGTTTTTCCATTCCATCTATATATCAAAAGACAATACGAAATTCTATATAATATATATACGAATACGATCTTCTATTCGTGAGCATTCCGTTACTGCATTTTTGTCTTCGTAATAATAATATTATATTATTTCATCACTGACACTGCAATATAAACGAATTCTGAATCAAAAGCCTACGGTTGTAAATTCCGTTTTATAACTGAGGGTTATGCAATAACTACGCACACATTTTATACGTCTTTATTATACTACATCGCGAATCATTACGATTGTCCAACAACCTGTGTAATTATATTAATTTGTTAAAGAGACAGTCAGCCGTCCGATGAAAACTTTTAATCTGGTTTATATGGTCTGGTTATTGACC